CACGGATTTTCAGAAAGCGGATGCCCATCCTCTCCTGCTTAATTAAGGACATGCATTTATTTCTGAAATGAGACACAACTTTACTTCGTACGCAGCACCAAAATAAAGCTATATGACCCTGAGGGGTTTGGAGTCTACGTTAAGTTGGTAGGGTTACTAGACCATAGTCAACGGCGTAGTTGACCCACCCAGCCCACTGCGGGTTGGTTGACTTCACACATATCTTTGAACTTCTTCACCGATATTTGCAGGTATCACGATGTTTTCCTTTACCGTAAGAAGGTCGGTTAAATTATGTACGCATGAAATTCGAAAATTGAAAATCGCATTGGTACATACCGGGTTTCGAACCCCAGACCTGTAGATTACAAATCAAGTGCTTAAACTCTTGAACCTCCGACGCTCTTGTAATAAATATAGCTTTACAACAATTCTAGGAGTGTTGCCAAAGCATCTTATGCATTTAATTAACGACATAGATATCAAACATTGACAGTCCGATATTCGGCTTCGATTGAAAAGTAGTCGTGACAAAAAAATATCAGCAGTATCTTCTATGCTAATATTATAAAGAGGAAAGATTTGTATTTTTGTATATATTGAAATAACTCAAAAACTACTGGGCCAATTTCAAATTTTTTTACCATTGAAAACCTACGTTAAAAGTAACATAGACTGATTTTTATTATTTAATTTCAGATGGGCGAAGTCAGGAGCACCAGCTAGTCTACTTTTAAAACTCAAACTACGTAATGTCACGATTGTCATAAATTCATTCAGTAATCAACGATTCCGAATTTCAAAAATGAAACCTCAGCATTGCGCCAGTTTGTACCTGTGCAAATTGGGTCGCGACCAGGCAAGAAAGTAAAGCATGCCAGCATTATTCATTCATTGACGGCTGGAATACAATTGAAGAATGACTTCTTTAGGAATTCATCTACTAATTCATAAAGCTTGGTTTGTAAAACGTAAGTCATAGTTCCCTTAGCTAGCTTTTTTGTCCAATTAATGAGAAAATCGGGCAAATTTATTTATTCATTTAAATTAGGTTTATCAACACAACAAATTAACATAGATTTCTCAAATAGTGTTTACCATTGTAGTTATTAAAATATAGCAATTAATTAAAAATAAAATACCAAATTACATTATGTAGAGTAATACTAATCGAAAGGTACCAAAAATGTTTTCTTCTGCGTTGTTTTCATGTAATTTTAGTTATTAGTGTTGTTTTGAACTTGGTTCTCGATATAGACGGTTTTCAAACAATGACGAATATTTGGCATTTATTTTAGACTAATGTTTGAAACAAAACAATGTAGCTTATTTTAACGATGAGTATTAATGGCTTAGTTTTTGTTATAACATTTTCTTTGAACCTTTCAACGGTTGTTTATATGTGAAGATTCTATCATGCACGAACGAGTATGAGTAAATTTATTGATAAGCTACATCAAGAAGTAAAAGTTCTTACAACTTTAATGGATTTTATTTAGAATAATTTCACATTAATATATACTTGGAGTCCTTGTGAAAGGTTGCAAAAGCATTGAACTTGACGGTGATTAATAACGACTTAACACACGTAATTTTTTTTGTTTCGGACCCGTCGGGGTTCCATCTTCAGGTGCCGTCAAGATTAAATGCGAGAGCGATAGAGCCGTTTTTAATTCGTTTTTTATGTGTCACGAAAGTTTGAACAGTTTAATTAAAGATTATTGTTTAAAGTCCGCATGCGTACAAAGAGGTATATTTCCGATCTCTAGCAGAACAACTTAATAAAACCAACTTTACTACGTGAAATCTTAAATAATTAAAATATTTGATGCTTTATTAATTTTTGTATATAAAAGTAGGGGTTCAAAAAAGAATCATGCGATAAACACTAGCTAATATCTATACTAATATTTGGAAGAGGAAATATTTGTATTTTTGTATGTATTGAAATGATTGAAAGTACTGGGCCGATTTTAAAAATTCTTTCACTGTTAGAAAGGTCATTTATGTGTGAGTAACATAAGCTCTATTTTTTATTATTTTCTAATTACACGTGGACGTAAACGCGAGCTACACTTCTTTCTTTAACAGAAAAAGAGAAGATAAAGATAATATGTGAAGGGGAAATAGAATAGACCTGTTGTTAGGAGGCATATATTACTCTATTTTAAGGAATCTTCTTATGCTACAAACCTGATTTCATTGTTTATCTACATGCATTACACAAATGGAGGTTATAATCTACCATTAATCAAGGTTATACTGGCTAGATAAAGGCATAAGATAAACGAAGTAGGTTTATCTTATGTGTATACTTTCCTTGTGTTTGTAGAGCTAAAGTGTATACTGATGATTTATTACTTTGTTGCTGTATATATTTTGTGTAATAATTATATAAATCAATCACATCATAACGACTTCCGCGTGCTATCCCCGTGTACCGTGAACTTGATAATGATGTAATGAGACTTAATCTACCATCTATAGTTCTATATCTATCTATACTCTATACTTGTATCTATACTAATATAATAAAGTGTAAACACATACTACTTCGTGGTGTTGAATGTCAGCAATCACGGCATGTTTTTTAATGATATTTAGTTTTTAAATAAAAAGCCCTTCACTAACACGCTTTGGGCTATATATTTTACGCTATTAAACTTAGGGGGTTTATGAATAGGAAAAAACCGTCGTGTGAAATTTATTTCTCCTTAAATAAAAAATCAGCCACATGTTTTATATCCAAGGACAGAAACAAACAACTACTAAATAATAAGTGGAGCTGTTAATTTTGCTAACTGATTTAACCTACAACAAAATTTCTGTTTCCAGCAAATCTATAGCTATCACAGTCTGCACATTTAGTTTGACATTGACACATTTTAGCACTTGTACCATAATTGACCTATATTGTGGTAACAGGAATAGAGTATATAGTATGAATTAAATCCTTTTATAGAAATAGGAATGTTGGCCTTTTTTACTATTAGTTTTAATTATTAAAATTTTCTCTGAACTATAATAACAAAAATATTCTAACATATTTAAATGTTAAACTTAAATAACACAATATAATCAGGGAAGTCTAATTTAAAATTTTTCAATGATCTGTGAATCTCTTTCCTGGCTATCCCATTAATAAAATTCTATTGATTCATTTTATTTTTCAGTAGCTTAATTAATGGCCAGTTTCCCAGCTATGTTTTACAACTCGTTAGTATTTTTGGTTTGATAAATACTTCATGTGCGTTTCTGAACTACTTCATTTGAGTTTTACTCCTTTGAAATTTACTTCAACCTAACACTAATGAATTACTAGATAATGATAAAATAAATGGAACCTTCAGCAACCCAGCGTTAATGCCATATGTAAGCATTTAGACATGAAATTAAATATTCACTTTTTGAAAATGGAATTTAAAAACCATGACTTTACAAGGAAGAATATGGTTAAAATGACACCAAACACTTTTTAAACAATTGAACGGTTTAGGCTATGAGGATCACATCTTTGGATGTACCAGTTTACTTATATACCTGCTAGATATTTCACCCAGTGAGTATAGCTGAATTATGATGGCTCACTAGCATCCTCTTATATGCCAATTTCTATATTTTTAAACAGAACAAACCAATAGTTAAAGTAGCACAGCCCATCATCAAGCCTTACTTTCTTATTGGACGATAATATGAAAAAATATTAATCTATTTAGAAACAAAGTTACATTCAATTTTAAACCTATTTATTTCTTAAGATCAATTAGTAGAGAATTATGAGTGGTCATTGAAAATTGGGATGCAATTTTTTTTACTTCTTAAGTAACTATGTGTCAACATTCCATGACTAAACTTATTCCCCTATTTAAACATCACTAGTATTATAATGAATTGCTTTTTCCTGCAACTCCATCCATGCGGAATAAAAAAAAAACTTAATTAGTACCCTATGTGTTATTCCAGACTGTTTTACGTCTATGCCAAATTTAATCGAGAAATATACAGCTGTGTAGGCTACAAAGATCCATCCATCGATAATCAGTAAGAAGTAATATTATTGGTATTGTAAATTTAAAAAGAATTAGTGATGGATTACACAAAGTAATTGGGACATAGTTAATGAAAGTAAACAACAATTACTTAATGGGGTAAACATGCTAATGATGGAACCATCAACCATTGAGAAATATGTGAATGATTGATAATTATTTGTATCTCATTGTCATAATTGCCTTTATAATAAAGCATATATTTATCAAACTACTAATTACAGCCCATTAACTATTACTCCATTTAGGACAGATTAGGGTCATCATTGTGTTGCTGCTAAAAGTAAAACAAAGGCTAGGAATGTAACACTTTAGGCTCAAATGTAACTGATTTTAGTTTCTTTGTAGAGATTGCTAATGAGTTTTCATTTAAAGAATGGGAGAACTGTATGCTATTGTCAGGAGAGATGTAAGTTACTCGCTGATAGTGTTTCAACATTTCCATAATGTTTATTATTGTAAGGTATCAAAGTTAGATGGTTTAAGAAAATTTTCTATGGACGGGTTGGCAATACAATTCTTTAGGTGGCTATTTTCAAGTTAATGTAGCATGCAATCATACAAATTTGGCATCATATATTTGTTTTTATTAGAACTAGTTAATAAAATTTGAACATCGAATAAGTAAATAGTAACAATAATACAAAAACTATATGGTAAATTATAAAACTTATATGCAAATCTGGAGAAACATTCAACTATTTAAATGAAGGATACATTTATTACTGCAGAATATATAAATTAGAATTTAGAATCTAGAAATTAAGTAATTGAGTTGCCAAATAACAATGGTTTTATCATCATTTAAAACCTCCATGGAACAGTTGCATTTTTAAATGTCAATAAATAACCACTATGAAGGTCAATTAACCTCTAAGCTTTTTAGTTCTATTGTATTTTAAAACAACGAAATGTTATAATTAAAGTATGTATATAAACAATAAAACTTACCCTAGAAAATGTTCTGAGGCGGTTAATACGAGGGTTTGACGGCACATTGTTTAAGGATACTTTAGACATATTTGAATGTATGCGTCTTTGCACTGATATACAAATATCACTTAATGTTGCCACTCAGTGTTTATTAACTAAACAATAATTAATTGCACACCATACAGCGATGACACCATGAATGGTTACAGAACAAAAACTAATCACACAAACCCATGACAGCCTGATATAGGTTACAAAAATAATTATAGAATCTTTTAAACGTTGTTATAGTGTTTTAATTGTTAAATGAACATTTTCCAAAATTATAAGAAAACTAATTGAATGTTTTGTTTTATAAGCTTGAAATGCCTACGACAGCTGATGAACGTTTCGTTTTGTACAAAAATGACACAAAAACTCAAAACATGTACGCGTCTCACGCCGCCAGACCGACAACTGTTAACAAACTTGCGCCAACTCGCCAAGTGCGTACATAGAGACGCGACTTGAATGATTCGTGGCGGGAAAATTGGATCAATGTCAGAATAACAAAATTATAAAATTATGTTGGATATTTGATTATGATACTTTTTTTCTAAATAGTAAAATTACGTTTTCAAGTAGTTATTTATAAAATCAACCTAAAATAAGAGAATTTAATAAAACACAAAAAATATGACGTGAAAGAAGCCGACATAAATTGCATAATAATAGGCAGTAGTTATAATATAGGCCATTGATTGTTTAGTAAGTGATTTTTTATCAATGCACCACACGAACTACTAGCACTGCGGCATTTTTTACATAATGTAAGTATGTAACTACTTTGTTTATAAATGTGTTGCATATTTTCTCTCCCGTGGCACTATATAGTAATATATTTTAAGATGATAAATATTATAACCTTTTAAAAACATGTAAAGCAAGGTGGTAAATAAATGGAGGTCGTTCGATTTATGTAACACTTTTGGGTAGCTCCTTGTTCAAGTAGGATTTACTTAATTTATGAACTAAAATTTACGACAGGCATACATTTTTAAAACCTTTGTTGTTCATATCTAAATAAAAAGTTTAAGCCTTCTGTCACAACGCAATCTTAGTCTTACTTTTTTCTTACCAACGACTGTTCAGTGGGGTTGACGCGAATGCGGGGTTCTTCATTCTCGTCAGTAGCTCCGACAGTCGCAGATTGACCCATGGTGGTGTTTTGTGGTTACTTGCGATCGCGTTGGCGTTAGCGCGGCGTAAGGCCGCGTGCAGACGCCGCACGCGCGTCTGTCGCGGGTCCACTGCCGCGTCACTGTGCCGTGTAAGTTCTAGAGCTTTTTTAGGGTATGACTCTCTATCGATGAAATTTTCCTTTTTCTTACATTTTTGAAGATATATGAAATACAAACGTGAATCTTACTAATGATATAAACGCGAAAGTTTAGATGGATGTTTGTTAGAGTTTGAAGCCTAAGCAGCTAAACGATATCGATGAAATTTAGCATAGATATAGAGGATAGTCTGGAAGAACTCATAGCAATTTTCGTTTTTTTTTTTAATATTTCGCGAACGAAGTCGCAGACGAAAACTAGTTAAATTAACATGAAACTAATTATACAGAATTTTGATCATTAAAAGTTTGTGAAGTTTGTTTTATCGCGAAGTAAAATTACTTATTCGCTTCGAAAAAATCGTAAATCAAAAAAGCTTCGAAGGTAACTCCATGTAAAAAAGGTACACTTATATGAAAATCAAATAGTATGCACGATTATAAGTAGGTATACTAGCTGTTGTTCACGACTTCGTCCACGTGGATTTAAAAAATAGTGTCTGTTTTACTTACTGAAAACGTAACTTTTTCATAATGAAAGATTTTTTTTAAAACCGCCGAGTAGTTTTTGAGTTATTGCAATACATGCAAAAATACAAATATTTTCTCTTCCGTATAGATTGAGTTGCCAATTTTGGATTAGTTACATCATCATACTTTCATCCTGTCTATCGATAAAACGTAAAGCCCATCTCTAGGTTCTAAACGGTCGATACAGCAGGCGCAAGTCTGGCTCATTCAAATAGGACCTCTGTCAGTTCAAAGATCTCCCACAAAAATAAAAACAACATTTGATGCCGACATCGGACTGGAAGTAACTGCAGCTGTTATTTTTAATCATAGCTCACGAAACTTTAAACATTTACTTAACTACATCGTTTTTGTGCGATTTAATTCCCGACGTATTATTGTTGTCAGTGGTTTAATACCTTGTGTGAATGCCAAATAGAAATATAAAGTAGGCTGTTTCGTTATTAGTTACGTTGGCAGTGGAAGATTAAGTTTCGTGGACAATTTACTGCTCATTATAGTAAATTATAAAAAAAACAACACGTGTGTATGGAATTGTATATGTGAAGATGCGACTATATGTCGTCCCATGACTTTGCTGACAAGATATCTTTTGTTACCGCTTCGGGTTACGTTAGTACTTATATAAGCTAAAGTAGGGTTTAAAATGAGACACAAAAAGGGAATTTTTCGATTAATCTATGAAAGAATTGCGTAGTGAGATTGTGGCACAGAGAATATCATTGACTGCATAACTACTAAGAAATATGAGATATACTGGGAGTCTACGACTAAGGATCATTGTCCGAAAGTTAAGTAAATTACTTTTCCAAGAAATTTTACAATGGTGAAACATTTCGCTGTTTAATAAGTAACGAAATTATTCTAGAGCTTTGTTATTTTTTAACTATGAAAATAAAAAGATAAAAAGTTTACAAACCTAATAATTAAAAATTGTTTCTATGTTTAAATTAAAAAAAAAAACGCCATCTTTGTAAAACTAAAGTTGTTAAAAGACAAAATTTCATTTCTTTGTGAAGGCTATACAATTCTTCCTCTGTACACTAGATGGCGGTAGTTGTCGCTACTTTTTCAAACTTCTAGATAATTTTGTACTGCGCCTTTTAAAAAAATATTAGTTACTTGCGTAATAGATGTAATTATTATTGGTGATCAAAGTCAGAAGTTAGTCATTTAGACAAAGGGTCTTAAATTGGACCTTTGTTGAAGTATGTAAAATGTGTTATTTCATGCTTTAATTACTACTGCTTAATATTAAAAAAAATAAAGTAACCACTATTATTTTTTGCGGTCCTTTATTATTCAAAAATAATTTCGGAGACATAGTAACCGTTAATGGATTAGAAAACATTCATCAAAGTTAAAGTAGGTGAGTTATTATTAATGATTTCCATTAGATAAGTTATAACAGACAAGAATGTAATGTGTTTATTTTAATTAGTCTTTTATCCATATAAAAAATATATTTAAAAGTTATTTCCTATGCGTTGCCTACCTTGTATTCGGCAGAGGAGAAGAAGCGCACTAAGAGTATATTTCCACTTCATATGCGTCTCCGCCTCTGCCAAATCTACTTTCCTTAAAGGAAGAGAGTAAAAAGAGGACGAGAAGGCGGAATTACTTTTACTTTACGCCTCTCGTCAATATACTTGTTGTATACAAGAGATGAGTTGGCTAAATTTGCTCCAAAAATTAACAAGCTTAAGATCATATAAATAAAATAATTGTGTCATATATGCTTATTGTATGTAAGTTTGCTTCATTGTTACTCAAAGGAATGGATTTTATTATATGTATTTTTTCTTGGCGTTTTTGTTCAAGTTTATTATGCTTTTTGCGCTTTCGAATAATTCCCAGTTTCACATAATGTTATTTTGTAGCTTTCGCCGGCGTAAGATAAAAAAATAAACGAAAGTAGCTCATGTGTTCTTCCGGACCATCATTTACATCTGTGCTGATTTTCATCGAGATCCGTTCAGCAGTTTAGGCTACAAACTCTAACAAACATCCATTCATCCATCTAGATTAATTACTTAAGTTGGTCGTTCCACTTCACAAAAAACACCCATTTCTTTCTTTTTAATTCACTTTTTATAATAGATAATAATCTATCAAAATGGATGTTGAACAATTAAAAATTTTACATTCGTTTACTCAAATGCATTACGGTAATTAAAACTGCAAACGCGGCTTTTTATTCTAGTTCTGTCCACTTATGATACGAACGTTTCGGTAAATGTTATAAGTCCTATAATTCAGTGTGATAAACCCAGAAATAATCGAATGTTATACGAGACAATAAATTGAAGAAGCAGTAATCTATACTAATATAATAAAGCGTAAACACACACTATTTTGTGGAGTAAGATGTCAGCAATTACATTATATTTTTGAATAACTCTTTTTTAAAATAAAAAGCCCTGCAATTACGTCACGCTTTATGCTGTATATTTTCACGCTATTAAACTTAGGGTAAGTGAATTGGATAAAAACTAGCGGGAAAGGGACAATAAGCTACAAGCTGCCAATATCAAGGAAGTAAGATTGCCATGGTTAGTCATCATGTCATGTCATTTTGACAGTTGCAATTAATATGACAAATGTCAACAATAAAATAAATTTTCATAATTTCATGCAGATGAAGCTGCACGGTAACAGCTAGTATAATAATAAAGAGTGAAGAGAAGCTATGAAGGATATGATTTTAAGAAGCATGAAACCAATACTGATAATTGAGAATTGTTTTGGAGTATTCAGATACCGTACCGGAATGGATCGTACAATAGAAAAACGCATCCATATATTTTGTACATCCATTTCATTTATTTGGATTACAAATTTTATTATCTTTTGTCTAATGCCAGCTTTAAAAGAAGGAATCAAATTACCTGAGATCTTATTGGAAGAATTGCCTTGGCAAATAATAACACTTCAATATGCAGCAACATTATTAATAGGATTAACGCAGAAAAACAAATGCCGACGAATTATTGGATTACTGTCAGATGTTGATTTTAGATTACAAGCAAATTACGTTGAAAATATTTACCGCGATTCCTTCAAGAAAGCTTTGTACTTATTAATAATATACTTTTTATTCTGTATTTCCATATTTATTATAGATTTATTAACAAGTGATGGTTATAGGTTTGAATATGTTTTGTATTTGTTGGTTTACTTTGAAAGGAAAATAGAAATAACTACTTTTCTTTACACGATGTTCATGTTTAGATATAGATTATTGCTTATTGAAAAGCAATTGATAGAAATTCTGAAGAGGCAGTCAAGTAATAACCATCGAAATAAAATTATTACATTTAATGGAGTTAGAAAAGTTGGATGTGGTAGTTTTAAAAACAACATCAGTTGTCTTGCATTATCGTACAACAATATTGGAGAAACATGTCATATATTAAACACTGCTTACAACTTCCTCTTATCCACGATACCTGTTTCAGTCTTCATCTTTATTATCTCTACGTTCTGGACATCGCTTTCTTGTTTCAAAAGGGATCAAAACATAAAAGCTTTGATAAGAATCGTTATATGGAGTTTTTCAGAATTGACCACAATAATAATTTTATCAATGTGTTGTGAAAAACTTCTCACAGTAAGAAGGAA